AACCATTCTGGACGTTGGTTACCAGCTACTCAGCGCCACTTTTCGGCAGAAACGGGCATTTACAGACCCTCGTATTATTTAGCATGGTTTTGGAACTAACTAACATATTATAATGATATTGGACATATATGAATCGGCTGAAATCGAGAAATTTGCAAAACAATCAATATTTTATTTTTTATAATTTTGTAATCACTATCTATGCGAACTCTTTCTCTCGTCGCCTTGTTGCTTGGACGATATCACTATCACTGCTATCAAAACGACAGACCAACTGTAGAAGAAAACCTTTTACAGTTAGTCTTTCTAACATATCTGTATAAACGTCTATCCGAAGCTCATCTTCGCTACTACTTGCGTCATGAGACTCATTCGTGTTTGAACGTTTTGCCATTGTTCTAATAAAAAATATGAATAAATACATAGGTTGAAAATTTCTAATTGTTATTACTAACTCACAAGATGATATTTACCAAAAAAACTTTTACCAAACAATTTATTTACCAAGAGAAGAATCACTTTTCCGATTTTCTCACTCGTTAGATCTATCTATACCGCTCGACGCTTCAAACCAGACTGAGTTCAGCTTTGAAAATCTTTTCCTCCAGATTTAGATTTGCTTATTTATGATTATAAATCTCACTATACGGTGCCTTTCTTCTACAAATTTGCTCGGATCGTCGTGAGCACGCCTCTCACGTTCTCGTCTGACACAAAACCCGCTGACATTTCTTGTATATATCTCTTAGTAATTTTACTATATTTTTAATATACTAAATATTAAAATATATTAATATATTAGAAAATATATTAGATATTAAAATATAACTATATTTTAATATAGTATTTTAATATTTGATTTCTTGTGCCACTTCAAGAGATAACTTCAGGGAAACATGCATGTCTCAAAAAGTTGCGCTGAAATAACTCAATTCCCGTAATCGCTAATAAACTTTCATGTCCCACGAGAGGGGACATCCGAGTGATATGCTAGAATTACAATGTCCCACGAGAGGGGACATCCGAGTGATATACTAGAATTACGATGTCCCACGAGAGGGGAAAGCGGAGTACAAAGGGATAAGCATACCTTGTACGCGTTTATTTCACCCCGAGGATCGGTCAGGTCGATCAGTTGCGCCCACGTTGCCCAGAAACCCTGATGCACCGCCTGGTTCCAGGTCGCCTCGAGACTAGCCTAACGAAAGTAAACGATTCGTGAGACGTTTCGCGTGTCACGTGTGCGAGTTTTCCAGCTGTTAAAAGACTCACTTTGAGATCGAGCCATATAGGAGAGGTCAAGAAATGCCGGATCGCCTCCGATAGCTTGATCTCCTCGCCCTCGCTGTCGGTCACCACGGCGTTGAAATAGAAGTAGCTGACCAACAGGGATATGTAGAAAGCGGCGGCCAAGGTCAGATAAAACAGCCTGCGAACCAAGCCCTTCTTTTTCCTTGGCTTCAGCCGCCATTCCTTGCTGAACGTGTCGAAGCTCCACGCGGAAGCTACGGTCATCAGGAACAGCCACATAGTGTCATCGCCGATGTACGACAAGGTCGGATAGAACAGGTACGCTGCGCCTAGAGCGAACCATATGGATCCACGCTCCCTGCCGATGTTACCAACTATCCACACGCCTGAAAATTTCGCGGTAATTAGTATCACGGTCGAGCCTCTTGCAACAGGATTGATTCGTTCCGTGTTGTAACGGAATTAAAAGAAACCTAGAAACAGCGTAAATCAAGCGAATGCGTTCCCTGTTATGTCAAAACCGTGTTCTCCGTGTGTTCTGTCATATGCAGGGTGTTCCGTAATTATGTTAACATCGGGAAAAGAGTGATTCCTTGTGTCGCATAGGTATGGTACGCTGGAAAAACGTAATCCGATAAGGGTGCCTAAAATTATGGTATTTCCGGGAAATGAGGGGTTCCTGAGGTCATTTCAAGTAACTTTTTCCTTAGCGAAAATGCAATCTGCCGCTTTGTTTACGAGTTATCAAAGAAAAACGCTGACCAATGAGAGGAAAGCGCGGCTCGCGCGAGGCGTCCGAGCCGATCAGCGGAACTGAGCTTCGACCGTTCGTTAGCGCTGGGCGAGCTCGCCTCCCATTGGTCAGTGTTTTTCGTTAATAACTCGTGAACAAAGCCGCGGACGGCATTTTCGCTAAGGCAAAAGTTACTTCAAATGACCTCGGGCATCACCCCTCTCTCGGCGTTAACATAATTATGAAACACCATATATTAAGTGAAATTTCAAAACAGTAGAAATGCAAGAGATAAATTTGAAGTATTATTAACGATGCCATGCAAAAAAAAGAAGGAACAAACATTGAACATTTCTGTAAAACTACAAAGTACAATTACTGCACGTCCGAATGTGCGTCTTTTGCGAACGAGCAACCGTCCACGGAATTATGTAGTTTCCAGTAAGTGCAAGCTACGCGTCGCAATATATCATATATAGAGGTGAACTAAGAATTAACGATACTTCGGTGAAATGGTATCGCAAATAAAACCGTGAAGTGCATACAAATGTAACCATTCGGCGGCCTTGCCGGTCTTATCGGGCGATTAGCTAGCTTTAAGATAAGCTTCTGCAATATCACCTTGGAGAAGCATGTATCATATACGAATACGTACCAAATGCGATGACGAATGGTGTTAAAAGCAACAGGTGACGGAAATTGATCCCGTAGACTTCGTCCTCTGGTATCGCGCTGCGATAGATCCCGGCCCACAAGTACGCAACGCCGGTTTCAGCGGCGAATCGCACCGTCGAGAACGGCGGCTGAAATATCGAACAGAATTAACGCGGGAACGGAGAACTCTGCGACGTGGTGGTCTCCAAATTCTGTGCCGCGAATTGAACGGCTAAGGACGAAGAGCAAGAAACTCGAAGGGCTTCGCGAATCGGCAAAGTTTGGGCGACCACTCGCGTTCGCTGTGGATCGTGGATCCTCCAAATACCTTGCGGTTGGTTCGAACTTTCTGTTTGAAGTCCTCGAGGAATCGAGGATCCTCGTTCGCGTCGGCCACGTACCACGGGATCATGTAAATGTCCCGGAGCCATCCGAAGCCCACGTACCCGCCGAGGGTGCTGAAGTACACGAACGCCTGCTTGTCCCGCTCCAGGTACACGTGGTGCGCCCCAAATAGGCCGCCGAACGCCCACAGCACGTACGTCCAGAACACCGATTTCCGTTTCCTCTCCATCTTCTTCGGCTCCTCATCGACACGTCCGTTCGCCACGTTCGTCCTCGTTGCTTCCATTGCGACCCGACTCCCGAAACGAATCACGCATAAGGCGAATTAACGATCGAATACGAAACCGGCATTTGCGGGACGACCTCTTGGTCGCCGATCGTCGTTAACTGGAACGCAAGTGCGACAAACACCAATCAGTCATACGAAACCTGACCGACGCGCTTCTATTCGTCTTCTTTGTTAGCCAGCACACATGCACAAACAACGCTTTCGTGCCGCATATATCAAACGGCGCGACGTTTCTCGGTATTGTTTCTGCACGCGGCCAGGAACATCTGCCCGCTTTATGCGACTTCTTTCGTAAATTGCACGCTCGAGATCGTTCGACCTCTGATACGTGTCCTTGTTTGTCGGCGGCGTTTCGAGAACTACCGGAGCTGGTTCAGCCAAGCCGCCGGTTCGGACTGTTTGTGGTTCAACGTTCTCTCAGGTGTAACGGTACCTGTGCAGGGGCGTACCTACGGAACGCCGTGTGTTCCGATCGTCGATCGAACATACAGCGACGGAAACAGGTTCCACGAAAAATTCCGGATGAATTTCACGTCCGACGAGCCGCGACTCCTGCTGCAAAAGCGCAGTACAGTAATGTCTCTCTAATTGACGCTCGAATTGTTCACAGAAATGGACAATTTGGGAGGAGGAGACACGATTATTCGAGCCTTGTAGCCCGTTTTTACAATTGTTGAGAATCAATGACCATAAAAACGACCCTAAAAGCTCGAATATTCGTATCCCCTCTTCCCAAATTGTCCATTTTCGTGAACAATCCGAGCGTCAGTAAGGGAGACATTACTGTACACATATATCAAGATCCGTGTATTTCAGTACAGTAATGTCTCTCTAATTGACGCTGAAATTGTTCACAGAAATGGACGATTTGGGAAGAGGAGACACGATTATTCGAGCCTTGTAGCCCGTTTTTATAATCGTTGAGAATCAATGACCATAAAAACGACCCTAAAAGTTCGAATATTCGTATCTCCTCTTCCCAAATTGTCCATTTTCGTGGACAATCTGAGCGTCGGTATGGTGGACATTACTGTACACATATATCAAGATCCGTGTATTTCAATACAGTAATGTCTCTCTAATTGACGCTGAAATTGTTCACAGAAATGGACAATTTGGGAAAAGGAGACACGATTATTCGAACCTTGTAGCCCGTTTTTATAATTGTTGAGAATCAATGACCATAGAAACGACCCTAAAAGCTCGAATATTCGTATCTCCTCTTCCCAAATTGTCCATTTTTGTGGACAATCCGAGCGTCAATTAGAGAGACATTACTGTATCGCGAGAGTTCAAAGCTGACACTTCGACTTAAACGGCATTCGGTTACAATTTATTCTTCTCCGCTTCGCGACTCGGACGCGCTCGAATAATATCTCCTGTTCCCAAATTGTCCATTTTTGTGTGTAAGCTAAGCGTCAATTAGGGAGAATTCACTGTACAGTAATGTCTCTCTAATTGACGCTCGGATTGTCCACAAAAATGGACGATTTTAGAAGAGAAGTCGGACTCGATCCGCGAGAAAAATGTTTTGGAGATCTAACACGTTGGTAGCTGGTACAGGCTATAATAAATAATTTTTCTCGCGAATCGAGTCAGATGAAAGCGACGGTCTAAGATGCCGACAGTCCAAAGATTAACGCTTTGACCGTCGCGCCAGTAACCTCAAAAATGTCATAAAGTGCAAGAATTTTATTCGATAAAATTGAAATTGCTTCGTCAACATTCTTACGTTCCGCAAATCCTAATAAAATTAGGACGATGTAGTAGATTAGCGTGAAAGAATTTTCAGATCCGAGTACAGTAATGTCTCCCCAATTGTCGCCCAAATTGTGCACTATAATAGACAATTTGGGAAGAGGAGACGCGATTATTGGAGCCAAAAATTTATAATTACAATTATATAATATATAATTGTATATAATACAATTTGTATACAATTATATAATATATAATTATAATTACCGAATTTATAATTACCGATCGTCAACAACTGTGAAAACGAGACACAGTCGTACCTTTTTTTCTTAAATTGTCCATTTTTGTACACAATCTGAGCGTCAGTTAGGGAGTCATTACTGTGCTATCTTATGTTAGAAGGGATGAAACCTTGCGGAAATGATAGGCAAATCGTGAAAATCTGTTTCCACAAAAATAAAAGATGCGTTCGTCGTCTGCGAACGAAAATTACAGTATTTTCGTGTAAACGCGATTAAAAAAAAAATTTTTCTAAATTCGAGAAACGCAATCGGGCGGGGAAATTTGCCGGGAAAATATTTTGCTGGTGTTCCGCGTATAGAGAGATCTTTCTCGGGAAAGAGCATAGGATTTTGGTTGGCGCCGTAAACGCGGAGTACTAAATGTCCATCGTAAATATTAAAAAGCTCCCGAAAATAGCGTGCTGCATTTAACAGTTTATTCAACTTCTGGCGTGGCACGCTAAAACGCCCTTTTATTGTATTAACACGCCGGCTATTTGCGAACGTGATGCTGCGGTACCGACGGAACGGTCCACGCGAACCATCGCCGCGGTGTCATTTTCCTTATACAGGGTGTCCGCGCTAAATCCTCGATCTAATAATAACGTAAATCGAAACGGTAGTACCAGATGAGACACCCTGTACCCGCGCGTTTCGAAGATTCTATTGAGTTGGGGAATAAGTTCGTAGCGTTTTTATCAAGCAATTTGAAGGCGATTTTCTTTGTTGTTTTCGTTAAGCTCGTGAGGTACCCAGGCTCCCAATTCTTCGGCAAATCCCCTTGAACGAAGATGATCGAGAATCGTTTTATGATCGCAGTTCATTTTTTCGGTCAATTCACGACTTGTTTGGTGACCGTCCTCCTTCAAAAGTGCTTTGAGACGCTCTTCGTCGAATTCAAAAGGTCTTCCGCTGCGAGGCGTGTCGTCGACGTCAAAATCGACATTTTTGTACTTCGCAAACCATTTCCGTGCTGTAGATTCGCCTATGACACCTTCTCCGTATACATTGCAAATGTCCCGGGCTGCTTAGGCAGCTTTTTGGCCTCGATGAAAAGCGAAGAAGAGAAGCTGTCGAAAATGTTGCTTTTTATCTCCTGGATATTCCATTTCTAAGCCTCAAAAGTAATAAAAAATTAAATTACTCGAAAAGACGATTAGCACAGTTTTGTAGAGCAGAAAGAGCTCTATCGAGTGAATATTATATAATATTATAATATTATATATATATATATATATTATAATATTATATAATATTATATATATATTATATCATAATATTATAATATATTATATAATATTATATATATTATTGTCGTTGTAATATAATTAAATTAAATCTCGTTGTAAAATAAACGAAAATATAAAAACGCTACGAACTTATTCCCCAACCTAATACATTTTGCCTCCGCGGTCCAACAATCCGTCATTTATACGTAGATCGTTCTTACGAGTCGATCTATTTGCATTGCGCTTTGCGCGTCGAAAGATCGCGATCTTTTGTACGGAAGCGAATAAGGAAATGATTTCTCAAAAGAAGAAGGACAAGGACGAAGCTTCTCTACGAGCGGTTTTATTGCTTTAATCGTCGATCAAGCAGTTTCCGCTCCAACATTTTAATCATTTAAACAGTGACGTCTTGTCGGATACAAATTGCAAAATATGATGCAACGAGAGCGAGATGCATGCAGGTCGATGCATTCGGCTGAACTTGACCTACTATGCCACGATTGTAAAGCAGATTCCATTTTTAAAAGTGGGCATAGACGTGGCCGTGACTTTGCATGCAAAAGTCCCTAGGCCAAATAATTCCCTATGCTGTATGGAACGCCAGGCTTCGTTAGTCGAAAAACATAATCGAGGAAAGATGAAAAATACTGTTCTCACGGGGCACGTTTGAAATGCAAGGTTCGTGACGCACGCGTAAAGTTATTCGACATACGACCTACATACATATAAAGAAAATGTCGACCGCAGGACGAATTCGTTCTTTTCAAGCACAACGAAATTAAAACGAAAAATTACCTCGACGAAGCACCGCCTCGTTCGAAGCGAATAAATATTAAAACGAACGAATTTTGATATTACATTTCATCAGCGCGATACGAACGAAAACTTAGGGACAATCTCGATCGAAAGCTTGTCTCGAAGACAACATGGCGGCGTGCACGTGTCGTCTGCAATCCTCCGCTAGAAGCGAGTGTCGAACGTGTTACGGTTATCGGTTCGCTTTTCGTGAACGATTAATCACATTGCCGAGGACAACGAAGACAAGCTTCGCACACCTCGTGAAAAATGCCTGGTAATGGAAGTTTGCGGCACAACGAAGAGAAGTCATAAGGAATGGCGACGGACTGCGAAAAAAGAGCGTCGCAGGCGGCTGCGTCGCAACGCGGCCGCTGAGCGCGACGCCGACGCTGAACGACTGAGGGCAGCACTGGAGAAAAACCCGGACTATTTGAACTGGTTGCAGAACTGCGAAGTGGAAGAGGCCGAAAGAGAGAAGGTTGAACAAAAGGAGCGCGACGAACGAGAAAGACTCTGGCTGGAAGAGGAGGTAAGCAAGTTATAGATAGTTCAAGTTGCAATCTTGATCTGTAAACTAATTTGTTAGGTCAAACGAAAAAGAATTTAATGTACAAATAGGTAGGATACAAATTATACTTAAATTATAACAATGTATAAATTGTTCTTAAATAATCAAAAATTTCGTTTCTCCTCTCTCATCTTACAGATTATAAATTAATCAAATTGACATAGTAGATATAGTAGACATAGTTATAGTTATAGATCAAGTTGCAATCTTGATCTGTAAACTAATTTGTTAGGTCAAACGAAAAATCGAGAATTTAATGTACAAATTGGTAGGATTGTTCTTAAATAATCAAAAATTTCGTTTTTCCTCTCTCATATTACAGCTTATAAAATTATTAAAGAAGTTACTCTACGTTTCACTCCT